TATACTGGGGAGATCTTAAATATTTCTGTGGTTTATTGGTAGGGAATTACTTTTTTGTCTAGAGAGATGCTTTGAGATGTTTCTACCGGGGGGTGGGGTAGCATGCAATAGAGAAATACGTCGTAAACGTTGTTTTGAGTTGTTGGGCTCCGTTTTTTATGTCTTTTTGTGGGTTTTTGGATTAAATGAAGGAAGACAATTGTTTTCTCGGTGTTAGAGTTTTTATGTGATCTTTTATTTTAGCTTTGGTGGTTTTTGATACGGTTCTTTTGGTGGTTTTTTGTTGGTATGGGATTATGTTTGTTTGGGGGTTGTGTGGATAATGGATGGGTGGGTGATTGGGATGTGTTGAATGGATGGTGATGCCTGTTTGCAATAAGGAGGTGTTCGTTGTTTACCACTTCATTTCTTTTCTTAATTAGTATTTATATCTTGGTCCCGTGGTGGTTGATATTCGCGCTTGCCCTTCTCGGGGGTCCCTGTCTTGCCTGGGATATCTTGGAGCTTTGCATTCTCTTCTAAAATGTCCCCGTTTCCCATAGTTATAACAGGTGATCCTTTCCCTGATATTGGGCAATGGTGGTGGACAAGTGTAGGTGGGATCTTCATCATTGCCAACCATAAGGGGTGCTGGTTTTTTACCCTTTTGGTTTTCTATGCCTCTGGCCACCAACAGTAAGTCAGACATCTTCATAGAGCGGTATTCAGGGCGGGCCACCATCAGACCTTTCCTGATATCCTCTTTGAGCCCTGAAACAAAAGCAGTTGAGAGCATATGTGTGTGTGCCTTTTCATACTGAGAGAAGCCCAGATCATCAAAGGGCCTGTATGAGTCTGGCATAATACTTCTCCACAGACTCCCCTTTATCTTGGGTGATATCTTGAATCGTGGTAGTCTGAGCCGCCAATTTCTCCTTTGCCCAGTCATAGAGTTGGGCACAGAACTCCACGCCTGAAGAATAGGAAATAACACTTGTCAGGCAGGTATCACTGAAGGCCATCTGCATAACCGGCCAGAAAACATGTCCTGCTTTAATTTGGCATAGACTGAACAGGTCTTTCCAAGTAGCTGAGTAAGTTTCTTGTATCTGCACTACCCCTGCGGTAAAAGGGCATTGGCTGTTTCTCTGGGTCAGGCAGACTCGTCACTAAGGCCGCTGCTTGTGATGGGGTAAAAGCGACATACATTACCGGTGCCCCTTCCGGTAATCTTGAATGTCAGGGCTGTCTTGTGTACTGTTCCTGTTTAGTTTGTACTCCACTGTGCGTGGGTTTGGGAGTCAAATCTATTGGCGCCCTTGTTGCTTGCAGCTGTCGATCACTCCATTCAGATGCATCGTCATTCAATTGGACATCTGGCATAGGTTTGGGAGTCATACCTATCGGCATCCTTCCTGCTTGCAGTTGTTGATCATTCGGCTTGAGTACATTGTCATTCATGTATCCGGCTTGTGAAGGTGACACTTCCATATTGGGGGAAACGGGAGTGTGGTAGGAGCCATCCTGGTTTAGAACAGGGAGAACTGGATAAACGCCTTATTTAGGCCTTCCGGGTGTACCAAGATGGCCACCAGACGGAAGTGCACTGGGCTGGACAGGAAGCGACAAGACAGGTGCAGCAAGATGGCTGCTAGCAAGAAGTGTACTGGGCAGGGCAGGAAGTGACAATACAGGTGCAGCAAGATGGCTGCTAGCAGGACGTGTACTGGGCAGGGCTGGGGTGGTAGGCATAAAGTAGGCGTTAGATGAAGGGCAGGGCTGTTACTGGCCTCCTTTGTTCTCAATTCTATCATTATAGGGCGGTGGTTTAAGCACACTTCCATTTTCAATTTTGTGATGCACATACATTATACAATCGCCATTTTCTTGAATTTCTTCCAACCATCCTTCTTTAAGCAACGCTTTTGCAGTTTTGTACCAGGCTTCTGCTACGTTCAGCAAACCTTTATCACATAAAATTCCTCTCTGTTCCTGCAATAATTTACGCCAGTCCTCCGGCTGAAGTCAGGCAATGTTGACCTTCAGCTTACAAACTTTCGCTACTTTAGATAACTTTTTCACTGCTTCACTTCCTTCTCTCCTCTTCACAATATCACTTGCTAACAATCCTTGCTGTGGCTTGGCTATCTTCTGACCCATCTTCCCCCCCTCTCTCTGGGTCACTCGACTGGTATCCAAGCTCTTCTCCCTCTGTTCTGTTCTTTCACCGTAGTCTCAGCTAACGGTTTCAGAGGCAGCGCGGGCAACTATTAGGTTAATATCCCTCCTCCGCTGCTTTCTGTCTTATCTCAGAACAAACAGTAATCCACAAATACACTCAGAACAGGACATTACACCTGCCGCCCTTCGCTCCGTGAAGCCTCAGCAGCTGAACTACACCCTCAGGGGTTTCACACCGTCAACCCCGAGTCACCGTCCGTAGACACTTGTTGCAAGGTTCCGTCTTCCAGGGGCCAACAGCTCACCTGGTCAGAAATCTCATTGCAACTCGTTGCAAGGTTCCATCTTCCAGGGGTCACCAGCTCACCTGGTCAGAAATCTCATTGCAACTTATCTTTCAGTCTACTGAGTTATCACAGTCGCACAGGACGACAGACACTGAACAAATACACAGTCAGCAGAGATCCAATGGCAGGTTCATGAAACAGCCCCAGGCGAGAAATAAAAATTACCTGCCGCTCTAGATGACCTCTGGAAGCCGACAAAAACTGGCAGCTAAGACTGGACAGAAACAAATCGTACAGTGGTAAGTATAAAAAGTACCTACCGTACTTAGGGTTACGCAGGCCCTTTTGGTCTGTCCCGACCAGCCGCTCAGTCCCTCACGCGGACTTCCAAAGGTTAAAACTTGGGGCCCCTCGTTGGGCAGCCAGCTAAAAAGGTTGTGAGAACCACAATCGGGCTCAGGGTAGGATTTCTGCTGCTGCTCCTAATTTTGAGATATGGATTGCGTGCACGCCGGAAAATAATTATACAGACAACTGTCCAGTACAACCACCTTCACATCATCTCTGTTTATTGCAGGGCGGTGCTTAACCTTTTATACATAGAGAACAATAGAGTATATGTCACTATCACTTAAATACAGTCACATTTTAAAAGGCACATTTTGCTTGGCTGAAATATAGGAGAAATGTAGAAACTTGAAACTTGCTTCTCATCCCGTTATCTTTTTTTCACTCCCCTTCACATTCTCAAAGTCTAAGTATAAGGTCCTCTCAGTGCGAAGGGAGGGGTTGAGAGCATCGCTCTGAGCAAAAAAAGTTAAGGAGGACTGCAAAGCCCAGCAGACAAAATATATATATACGGACAACACATATATTTAGAAATATAAAAAAGTATAAAAGTAAATATGTATAAAATGTATATTTTAAACAGAAAACAGAATAGGCATTTTACCAAATCCATCACACCAGGTAAATTTAGTTTAGTTTGATCTCAACTGCCATAATATAGCGTAGTATTCACGTTAGTTATTTTACTGCAATCTTTAATTTTTCTCAATGAACTACAAGGGCATCGGTGTTCATGCTCATACACCATTGATTCTTCCTGCTGCCATATCGGAGGTTTGGGTAGACATCTACACGGACAGTCTGTGGGATCTCCTGATCACGGGTACAATGCTTTACAGGCGTCTAAGAAAAAAAATATAGTCAATGCACTTTTTTTCTTCTTTTTTACCTGAAAGGTGAACATTGCATGATATTGCGTCACTTCAGGGGTTACAGCTATCAATTGGCTAGTGTATTCAAACATGATCTGTGTTTGAATAGCTGCATAGGAGGGCAGAGGAGACATTGGAGATCTAATAGAACCCCAATGACTCCATCAAGAGTACCTGTTATCTGACCATGCTATTACATAGGGGGTTTGTTAGTTCAGATAGTTGCCCCTGTCGGAGTCGGAGTCCCTGCCTTCCTCTGAGCACTCCACTGGCCCTTTGGCCACTCATTTTCCTTCTTATATAAGGAGTTCCAGTACCTTCACTCAGCAAAGATCAGAATTCCACAAATAGGACCCGCTTCCTTGCTGACATCATCATGCCACTGGACCGAGCCGTGGCTGGTTTGTCTTGTGACTTTTTGCCTAATGTGAGTACTTCTGCCTTTTAATAATAAATCCAATAGTGGATTCACACTATGGAGTTTGTGGTTTGTTTCTTTTGGTGGGATCCTGATCTTTGCTGAACAGAGGTACTGGCTGTAACAGAGTTCCATTGATCCCTGCTGATGTGCCTTGTGGTTCTCAATCCTTAAAGTGATACTAAATCCAGGACCCGGGAGTTTTCTTTCTGCTCTAGGAGGATGTGAAACCCGTGACCCGTGTAGAATATCCTGCAACACATATAATATTTTCTAGTGTCTTTAGGCAATTTTAGATAAATAGCCGGCAAAATAAAAATAAAGTGTGATTTTATTGTATCACACAATGGCTTAAAAACATGACTTAAAAATACAATGTAAAATGTTTCATAAATAACAGTTCAGAGTAGGTAAAAAACAAAAATATAATAAATAAAACAGAAGTTATAAAAATGTAACAAGCTTTGGAAAGCATGTGTGTCTCTTCATGTGTTTCTGTAACAAGTAATGTGTCTGAGCCTCTCCAGCATAAGGGAAATGACATCTCCTAGGCTAAAGAAGAATGCACCTGTTTAACCACTAGCCTACAGGGCACTTATACCCCTTCCTGCCCAGGCCAATTTCCAGCTTTCAGCGCTCGCACTTTGAATGACAATTGCGCGGTCATGCAACACGGTAACCATATGAAATTTTTATCATTTTTTTGTGACAGATAGAGCTTTATTTTGGTGGTCTTTAATCACCTTTGGGTTTTTTATTTTTTCTTAAACAAACCAAAAACCACAGAAAATTTTGAAAAAAAAGTTTTTTCTTAGTTTTTGTTATACAATTTTGTAAATAAGTGATTTTTCTCCTTCACTGATGTGCGCTAATGAGGCTGCAGTGATGGCCACTGATAGGTGGCACTGATGGGCACTGATGGGGAGGCACTGATGGGCATTGACAGGCATCACTGATGGGCACTGAAAGATAGCACTGATACATGGCACTGATAGGCGGCACTGACTGGCAGCACTGATAGGTGGCATTGATGGGTGACACTGAAAGGCAGCTCAGATGGGCACTGATATGTGGCATTGATGTGCACTGGTAGGCACTGATGAGCACTGGCACAAGGCACTGCTGGGGCTACACTGATCATCAGCCGATTACCGGCTCTCCTCTGTCAGCGTGACAGCTCGAGAGGAGAGAAATGCCGATAACCGGAATTTCCCTTTTTACACGTGATCAGCTGTGATTGGAAACAGCTGATCACATGACCGAGCCAACATCTTCGGCTCTTTCCGTGATCGGTGATCTGCTGTCTCCGAGGGACACAGCGCAATGCCGATCACCGCACGCTCCCTGAGCCGCGCATGCGCGGTGAGAAATGGGAGGACATCATGTGACGTCCTCCCAGAACGAGAGAACCAACTTGGTCCGTCATATTACTATATGGCAGGCGGGAGGTGGTTAAGCTTATCAGTATGTGGGATAACCATACAAATGCGTCTTCATGCCTTGCTTGTGTCTGTGTGTATGTATGTGTTCTTTTCCATCTCTTAGGATGTCTTTTTTATGTTACATGTAGATATCATAATTCTCATAACTCAGAACCTTGTATGGCAAACATTAATTATGCTTAGTAGACCAATTTCATTGAAGGGAGGGGATACTACATATATGGTCTTTTGATTGACAAGCCCATATGTAACACTCTATTCCTGATCTTAAAACATGACTTCACAAGTTAAAGATGACAAATGTTGCATCAGCCTACTCATGTGACCAGTTTCTCTGTTCAAAGGATAGTATAACTAAGAATCTATTTTTACAACATAATATCTCAATAATGTTGTATAACCAAAAATCTACTTATGTAACACATATTACCAATTTATAAAACAAATTCAATACACACAGATACTACTAGAGTATATTATTTCATACTAATTTCTAACAGTATGCATATATTATTCTCTATTCCACTGACTCTATCTATTTTGGTTCACACCTGTATCCCATAATACCCTGCACCAGAGATCTTCTAACCAGCTATGCCCATCTACAGAAATGTCCTAAATATTCAGCTTCCAGCTAGTTAACTCCAAATATTCTGACATTTTTTTGGCTGAGCTATAACTGAAAAAATTCAACACTGTCACTTGCAGTGCCCAGAACGGGCCAACCACACATTTTAATATTAATTATAATTAGTCATAAAAACTAAATATTTTGCAAGCTTGTCATAAATATATGATTCCTATAAGTGCCAAATTATGAATTTAGAATGATAAACTAACAATTCCCCCTGAATTATGATTACTCAAATTAATTAATAAATGCACACTTCATCCATGGCCCATACACAGCCTTGTATCAAATGATTGGATATATTCTTCAGAACCGGACTAGCCAGGATAACTCTCTTTCTAAACTCTGTTCACCTTTCTTTGGTTACTCTTTGATCTATCTATAAAAATTCCTGATCATAATACGGATTTTAAATATATATCAGTAATAATAAAATAATCATTATTATAAAATAATTCAAAGATGTAATAACATTTCCATATTTGTGCAACAATATTTTAGCTCTCTGGAAATATACTTTACATTCTAAAACTTGCCATAAGTTTCTATTGCTCCTATAAGAGTGATATGTTTCTTAACCTTTTAACAAAAGATGTTCTATCAACTAGAATAACTCTGTGACGTTTCACCTAAAAGATATTCAGTATATGAATGTGCAAAAATAATAATAATATTCTTATCCTAATATGGATGTACCATCAGAATAAGAGGATCATCAAAAATGTATATGTGACCTATATACCAATGTTTTCAATAAACTATTTTATCAGTAGTAGAGTTCTTTTGATGAACCCTTTTTTCATGCAAAGCCTAAAAAAATATCTTCTTTAAGTTCTGTAAAATTAGAAAAACCTTGCTGAACATGATAAAGCAGTCATAAGTATGAAGTATAAAACTTTTGTCCAGTCTTTTTCCTGAAATATCTCTTTTTTAACTTCTGAAACATTAAAAATGATGGAACCACAGTTTTACGAATTTGGAACACTATATATGAAGTACATTACTTTTTTTTTATTCCATAAAAGTTTATTTAGAAGTGACAACATGGTACAGGAAAATATAAAGAAATGCACACACAGCATCAATCAGGTCATAGACACAGCTTAAACCAAAATACAGGAAGAAACAACATGGTAGAGTGCGACACTGTGGATAACATAAGGATGGCAAATTACGGCAGAGATAGGCCTGTAGTACTTAAGGTTCAAAAATGTACAATATAGAAGGTAATAACAGCTTACTTCCACCTAGTGAATATTGGCGTACTGGCCTATGCATGGAGGAAATGAACCTTCAGAGCCTAAACCAAAAGCAGTACGCTATCATGAGGCTAAGTGAGCATCACAGTATAAGAGAAGATGTCATGAGTACCATTGACTATCCTAGAGGAGATAAACTAACCATATACCAAGTAATCCTAAATAAAATGAAGACTAAGCCTGATCGAAGACTAAGAGGTTGTCGAGAAAGAAAAGAAAAAAAGGGGAATAGAAAGAAAGAAAAGGACAAGAAAAGGAAAAGAATGGGAGTCATAGTAGAGAGAGAGGAGAGAAAGAGGGGAAAAAAAAAAGGGGGGGTGGGGAAAGAGGGGGGGGGAGAGAGTGAGTAGGGGGAGAGGAGAGGGAGAACGGGGGATAAGAGGCAAAAAAAAAAAAAAAAAGAAGGGAAGCAAGGGAAGCGAAAGGTCCGGGCTGCGAAGTTTGTGTCAACATTGTTATTGGAGATCATAAATGAGAGTGTCAAGAATTTAAACACTCACCAAAGCTAAGCAGGCAAATATAAATTACCGGAAAGGAGGTCATAACCACGCAGATTATGAAAGAATCAAGGGCATAACCAGAGGTAGGGCTGAGCTCAATCAGGTATCCCAACCCATGAGAGATCCGAATTCAGGGGTAGTTACAAAGTGGGTCCAGCAGGCCCAAACATGTGAGTATTTAGTTGGAATATCAAGTGCAGTCGCAATCAGTTCCTCCATTTCCGCCACTTTGCTTACTCGATTGAGCCAATCGCGTATAGTTGGGGGGTGAGTGGAGCCCCATAGCACAGGAAGACAGAGTCTGGCTGCGTTGATCATATGCATCGCTAGGGACTTGAAATATTGACTCCTAGGAATGGGGGTATGATGAAGCAATAGCTGAGCAGCAGAGAAAACTATGGGCAGAGTGGTCACTGAAGTCCACCAACCGTGGAAACCTCCTGCCAGAATGGTTGAATAAGTGGACAGGACCACCAAATATGTAAGAAAGAGCCATCAGGTGTCCCACATCTCCAGCACACGTCAGGGACAGAAGAGTTAAACCGATGAAGTCTGGAGGGAGTACGATACCATCTAGTGGCTAATTTGTAGCCATTTTCTGCGTCGAAACATTACTCGAGCAGGAGTGGGAGTACATAAAAATGCGGTCCCAATCCGACTCCGATAAATCCGTCTTTAGGTCCCTGTTCCACGCACGGCAAGAGGGGAAAGAAGTGCAAGTCCTGCTGTCCCCTAGGAGAGGATAAATCTCAGAGATCAAATGCGTCCGCGGTTCGGATTTAGAGCATAAGGATTCAAATGGAGTAACAGGGCGAGTCCAATTATGGCAGGATTTATGGAAAAGCAGGAAGTGTCTAATCTGAAGAAAGGCCCAGAGAGGGAATTCGCGGATATTCAAGCTAACCTTCAGCTCCTGTAATGTTTTCACCTTGCCGGAGTGAAGAAAATGTTTTACTAGAATCTGATCGTGTGGCCAGTAATTTGATAAAAAATCCTTGTGCAACCCTGGGGGAAAATCTGGATTCTGGCGGATCGACGTCAAGGGACAAGGAGAGTCTGAAACGAACGACATTTTACAAGCCTTGCGGAAAACTTCTAACGTGGGACCTATCAAAGGATGGGAGAGGAGAACCTGAGGTGTGTGTTTCGGCAATAGCCAAGGGATCGATGGTAGGGGAGTGGGCGAAAAAGCCTTCTCCAAAAGGACCCAGTCTTTGGAAGCAGAATGAATGTGCCAGTCGACTATGCGGGAAAGATGACACGCCCAGTAATAGCGGTGTAGGTCAGGGAGCCCAATGCCCCTGCTGAGTTTGGGACGAGTTAGCTGAGAGAACGAGACCAGCGGACGCTTGTGATTCCATAAAAAGAATGAACATAGTTTCTTACAAGAAGCAAAGAATTTCATAGGAAGTTGAATTGGCAAAGTTTGGAAGAGACGCGGAAGTATATTCATTTTAATAATTGCAGCCCTACCAAACCAAGAGAAGCAAGGGCGATGCCACTTGTTTAGGTCTTCCTGTATGACTTTGAAAACCGTTAAGAAATTTTTGGCATAAAGGTCGTCCAGATTACGGGTTAGATGTATACCAAGATATGGAAGGGCATCCCTCACCCACTGAAATGGAAAATGAGACTCACAGAAGGAGACGAGATCAGCGGGAAGGGTTATGTTGAGGGCGAATGACTTTGAAAAATTAATTTTCAGGTTCGACAAAAAGCGGAAAAAAGCTAAATCTTTCTCAGCAAACTCGGTAGAGTGGTGCGAGGGTCAGCCAAAAAAGAAGGATATCATCCGCATAAGCAGCAATTTTGTATTCTTTGTCTGCTATCCTGATCCCCTTAATATCTGGATTAGCGCGAAGTTGTCTCAAAAGAGGTTCAAGGGAAATGACGAACAGAAGCGGGGATAGGGGGCAACCCTGACGAGTGCCATTTCCAAGGCGGAAAGGGTTTGATAAGTGTCCATTAACGCGAACTTGAGCTGTAGGGCCCGAGTATAGGGTCATAATAAAGTTCAGCATTTTCTTTCCCAGGCCCAAAGCTACCAGCGATCCCCGCAAATAATCCCAAGCAATCCTGTCAAAGGCCTTCTCAGCGTCCAATGAAAGGAAGAAGGCCGGAGAGTTTGATTTGCAAAGCCAGTGTTGGAGATTAAGGGCCTTGATAGTGTTGTCCCTTGCTTCTCTACCAGGGATAAATCCCACCTGATCCAAGTTAATGAGGGATGGGAGCAAAGGGAGAAGTCGGTTAGCAAGCATCTTTGCAAACAATTCAATATCCACATTTAGCAGGGAGATGGGTCTGTAATTAGACACCTGGGAGATATCTTTACCGCTTTTGGGGATGACGGAAATGTGTGCTTCCAACAGCCTATGATGTGGCCTAGGGGACTGAGAAAGTGTATTGAAAGCGGAAAGAAA